GGTCCCATGTTGGAGGGAGTGTACCTGTCTTAAAAATGTAATTGTAAGTGTCGTTAAGAGGTAAGGCTAATATGTTTACAAACAGTTTGTAATATTCTGCCAGGAACCCATCTCGGCCTGGGGTTTTGCTAGGTTTTAATTGTTTAATTGCTTCTTAACTTCTTGGGTTGTTATAGGTTTATCTAAAAATTCTCTATGTTCTTGGGAGATTTTCTTAACTAAGTTGTGGGATTGTAAATATTCTGTTATTTTAGAATTAAGTGGGTTTTCCGTGCTGTATAACGTTTGATAGAATTTGACAAGGAATTTAAAATTTCTTTAGATGTAATTAAAGTGTTTCCCTGTTCATCTTTTTAAAAAATTACATTTCTTGATATTTGTTCTTTTTTTATTTTCCAGGATAGAAGCTTCATGGATTTGGGGTGTCGGAACCAATATTTTTGTTTGAGAAATAATATTTTTTTTTATCTGAGCTGTTTCAATAACTTCTAGTTTTTTTACGTTCCCTCGATTTGGAGAAACCCGTGGCTTGGATTTGTGTTGGAAACCATTTAGAATTAAACACAGGGATATTTGGTTTTTTTGAGGTGCGTCTCCTGTATAAATAAAATGTCTGGTTGCATTTTCACCAAAGAAGAGGTTAATCTCTTCGCTTTTATTCTCCTGTTCAATCCGCTGCAATTCAGAGAGAAAACTTTTATAATACTATCCATAACTTCTGCTTAATTGTTGACCAACAACTTTTTCATTAGTTTTAAATCTTGTTTGTCATGTTCTGCTGACGAATTTCTTGTAAATATACTACGCTTCATATTCCTTCTATATTGAAGTGTTTCTAATGAGAGATTGTGCAGGACCAATATGCGGGTAGCGTTGAATGCTATGCCGTTTTCTGCTCTTGATTTTTTTTTAAATGGCATCTCGTGTACGAGAGTCAGGGATTATGGCTACGACATCTCTTGGAACGTTCTCTGTGCATCTAGTAACGGGGCCCAAACGATATGCTCTATCTATTAGTGGAGCAATCCCCTCCTCCAACTCCATTGCCTTTGCTAGCCATGAGGCTAAAAAAGTTTTTAATTCAGACTCACCCTCAGCGGATTCGGGCATCCCGTGGAATTTTAAGTTAGTTTCTTTTAGTTTATTATCCAATGCCATAATTTTTGTTTTAGCCCATTCTTCTGACTTTTGGAGGCACTGCACCTCTCCTTGCATTGTAATGGTGCTTTCAAGGGCTGATTCGGCTGCTTGAGAAACTTTGTTGAGTGTTTCCGTTAATTTTTCGAGTCGGTCTGTGAAAGGCTTGAGTGCTGATCGAATTTGGTTGCCGATGCTGTTTTCCAGATGCAAAATAGTGTCTAGAAATTCTTGGCGGGATAAGGCAAAGCCCTCCGCTTCATTAGGCTTTTCTCCGTCGGCCATTTTGTGCCTGGTAGCAGTCTGGGAGGCCGTAAGCGTCTTTTGTTCTTCTTTCGGGAAGTAGCTCTTCAAAGTACCTCGTTTATTTTTATTGTTATTCAGTTTTCCCATCGTTATAGTTAGAAATAGGTTGATTTCGCAGGGTTAGAAGGTGAATAAGGAGGTGCAGATGGAGGAGCAAAGTTCCTAAGCATCTGCCATGAAGCTCGGCAACACCACGCCCCCCGTTGCTTTGAACTTCTGACACAGCTTGGCTCTTTAATTATAAAAGGTTCTGGATCCCTGACCAAACACAAGAATATCATGCATTGGTGGGAAGGGGGGAGGAGTGGCAGTATTCCAGAGAGCCAAATGGGATTATAGAAGAGGCTTTAAACCTATCCGGTAGAATCTGTAGTTCGTTTCTCTGAACAAAAACACTTTCCTGAGCTACAAAAAGAAAACAAAAAACTTCTGTGCAGATCATGGGAGAGAGAACTGCTGTTCAAGAACAAGTCTAAAGCCTCCAATTAGCCTGAAAAACCAATTTAATGGTTCTTTACCACCTGAACAATTTTTTTATTAAACTCTACTTATTGAGATAAGGACACCTGTCACAATCAACTTTACCTGGTGCAAAAATAGTTGGATTTGAGTTAAACTCTTTAAAAATCCAAGAACCACTACTAGCATGAACACAGCACCTCCCATAGAAAAACTGTGCAGGGTTTTCAACTCTACAATCACCATTTATAATCTTACCTATCTCAATTTCACCACCCAGGGAAAAGTTTAAATTTCTAACAGAGAAACATTAAATGATTTCCCCCGTCATGGCAAGTTTGCTTCTAGACACCATGTGGTCCATAGACATCATCCCCTGTTTTCAGAAGGCCCTCACTGATTTCTGAATTAATGCTGACATATTGACTTGGATCTTATGCACGCTTCTCCTTGTCCACTGCAGGGATGTTCCTCTATAGCAGACCTTGTCCCTCTGCTACTAGGCACTTTTGGACTCCTTGAAAAACACTGGTCTTGCATGAGTGGAAGTGCCAAATACCAGAAAAAACTCACTCCACCATGAAGGGAAGCACACAGAGGAATGAAGGCACAGGATCAAAGCCATCATATTCATATTTCACAGCCCTGCTATCATAAGGTATCCTTTAAATTGCCATTATCTTTAGCTTTTTACATTAGCACAATATACTATCAAAAATTAGTTCCTAACCTAAAACACATTTCTGGTTACTGCACAATATTTATTTATCTATCACATTTTCATTTCACACTTCCTGCAAAGAGTTCATCCATTGTAACTTCTGGAGGGGATGAACATTGCCTCATAGCTGTCTGTGCATGTATATGTACACACACACTACCTACTTAGAGAGCTACGGACATTCAACAAGCAAAAAAAAATTTGGTGGAACGGTTCAAGAGTCAGACTAGGGTTGCCTCTATCTAGAAATGTTACCTCTGTTTCAAGTACTTGGAGGTACTCCATCCATGTCATACATCTGATGAACAGGTGTCACTTGGAGGTACTCCATCCATGTCATACATACATTTTTTTAAGTGCTGCATGGGTTTCTGTCTTGTGATTGCAGTGCACACAGGTATTCGGTAATCAGTATAAAATGGTCCATGGTGTGATATTCAGGTGAGTAAGGAAAGGAACTTTCCACCCAACACTTTCACTTATCTGTTCTTGCTGTCGTATGTCAAATGTTACTAGGATAACATTTAACTTCTCCCCACTACACATCCTAGAGAACTTTCTGTCCTGCTTCCTTATTTTTTCCTGATTTAATTACAGTAGATGACTACATCAAGGGCTCTGGACCTCTCTGCTATCACCAGAGACTTATGTTCCACTCTCATCATCACATTCTGAATTAATTAGCAGGTGGCATGTAAATTTAATGAAAGAGGCAGGCAAGATAACCACCACTGTGTACAAAGAAAATAAAGCACCATTAGTTTTACCTTCCCCAAATAATCATGAACACTGATCTGAAAGTCATCTTCTTGATTTCATAGTGCTTTATGCAACTTGAATACGATCTTAAGTAGGCAAACCCAAGAAATCATAAGGAAAAATATTTCAGAGTTCAAAAAAACCCAAAAAAACCACTGTGATAAAGGTAAACTGTGTGTACTGATGTATTACTGCAGATTCCAGAAATCTGCCAGCTCTAAAATAAGGCAGCCGATAGTCAAAACACTAGTGAGATGGTATTTAATACCATTCAAAAGAAATACCCTGTTGCACATCTAGTGGGCATGTCTAGGCATTAAGCAATTTACAAAAACATATTTCAAGATACTGAAATGTAACTCAGCAACTAATTGTAAAAATCCCAGATTAGCAGTTCTGGACATTTTTCTGCCGAGATGCATGACCACCTGCACAAAGAGCTGATTTCTTTCCTATTAGTAGCACCCAAGTTTGTCATTAGAAAGGTCTGAGTATCTCCAGGGAAAACCTGACATAGCAAAATCTGGGCTAGAATCGTGGGGAAGATGACATGGCAAATAAAGATTGCTGAAGGACTGGTGAACCAAAAAGCTTCCTCACTATCTACCTTTTATTGGTCAATTATATAGATCAGTCTTCTAATATCCATGTACCACCCAAACCAATATTGTACAGTTTGGTCACCAAAAAAGGAAGAATATACTCCCAACAGGATCTCTTAAGTGTCACTGAAACACAGTTCTATACACTGCACCTCTTTGCATATTTAAATTTTTATTTATTTACTTACTTCCAATTTATACTCCGCCTTGCCGGTACAAACTGGCTCAAGGCGGCTTACATAAGTTAAAATACAATAAGTGATTGTTTATAGCAATAATCATTATTAGGCAACCACTACTAATTTTAAGAGCATGGGAGGGGGAGACAGTTTTCTTAGTTCAGCAGTATCTCCCAGTCACAATCACTTCCTATAGTGTGTGCAACTAGGACACTTAAAAAGTTCTTCTGGAGGTGAACATTTAACCTGCAACTATTTCCACCCATGGATTCCATAATTACACAGATTAGATCAGTCCACACCTCAAGTGCACTGAGGGAACAGGATTTTAAATAATTCAGCCTTTACCCTATTTTATTTTATTTTCAAACAGTGTATACACACACACAAAGGTGCCTGGCGTATGACTTTACAGGTAACTCAACTCCTATGGCTGAAAAGTACCGTCGCGAACAACTTTCCAAAACGACCGTCTACTTTGCATTGTACAGATTAAAATACCGACCCGATCCTAACGCCAAGCTAGCGATAGAAAAGCCGGCGTCTCCACTTGATGGTACGAACGTACCGACACCAGAAACACCAGCAACTAATACAACAATGACTGCAGGCGAAGGGAAGTGTCAGGCGAAGGCGAACGAAGGAGGGAGCAGCAGGGGAGGGGGAGCAGGAACAGGGAGAAACTTGAGCGGAGGCTGGGGAAAGAACTTGGGACGGAAAACAGGGACGGGGGCGCTGAGATGGAAGAGAAGAGCGCAGGGAGGCACTCCCAGGACTGCGATGGAAAGAGAGAGAGAGAGAAGGAAATGGAGACTCGGGGCAAGGCTGACTGGTTACCTGCTGTCGTCGCAGCCACCGAACTCCGTCCCCAGCTGATGCCGACTCGGCCCGGGCGCTGCGCTGCTCTCGCTGCCCCAAGCGTTCCCGGGAGCCGAGTCCGGCCGGGACTGGGCGGAGCTTCCCCTGACGTCACGGCAGGACGGGCAGAGAAAGCGTCGAGCGTTTTGAAGCCGGCCGGTGTAGCTACTTGAACTGGTGCTTGTCAGATTTCCCACACCGAATGCTACTGAGCATGCTCAGGCACAACGGAGCATGCTCAGTGGCAGTAACCGAAGCTCCTGTGGCCTTCTGTTTCCTGCGCAGGGAGTCAGAGTGCAGCTCCCCTGGTGAGAAATATTAAGTTCAAGTGAAGGGAAGGAGGCTTAAAAGATTGCGCTGTCGTATATACAAATAACGCTAATACTGTAGAGGGAAGAACTACTGGGTAGTTGATTTTGAAAAAAGTAAGAATGTAAAATTGCTGAAGAGCTGGCAAAAATAGAGCATGCTCAGTCTGTCCCATTGTGCTTATTGCTCTTAACCTTACTACTATAGCTGCTTTTCCCTCCAAGATGTAGACAGGACTTAAGTGATCCAGGATAATAAGAAAACATTCTTATGATGTGACAGAATACAGAGGGAGAGTGAATTTAAATCATTTCCTGGCTCTACAGTGCCAGTGTCCTAGTCTGAGTTCATAAAACCTATTCTTTTAGTTCTCCCTTTCTATAGAATAAGACAAATCTCTGTAGATAGCAAGGTGATCTGAATGTAGTAAATTCACTTTCAGAAGAGAGGAGGGGCCATTTGGAAACCACATGTTGGAAGCAAATCATTCCCTCCTGTCCTAGTGGAAGGCCAGTACTGTTCCCTTATCAGAAATCTTTGGGTTGCCAAATTCAGCTTCGAAAAATCCTGGAGATTTAAAGCTGATGCCGGAGGAGAACAGGGTTTGGGGAGGACAGAGAGTGCAGCAAAGATACAGTGCCACAAGGTCTGCCCTCCAAAGCTGCCATTTCCTCCAAGGGAACTGTTGTCCAGATATCAATTGTAACTCTAGGGCCCACCTTGAAGTTGGTAACCCTGACCCAGGTTGCAGTCAACAATCAAATGTACATCATTACATTTATCAGGGAGGGGCTCTTTCTCCCATGTCAGATATTAGATACAAGAAGATGTTTCCTCACGAACCCTTTTAACTTCTCTAAAAAATGGAGACAAGATTTGGGTAAAGCCTTGTGGACTGCAGTCCTCCTTATCTGGCAGTCTTGTTCCAAAAAATGTATCAACATACACAAGATCCTCTCCTTCCCAAAGGCAATTGTACTGCCACCGCTGATTCCACAGATGCTCATGCAGTGCTGAGAGCTAATGCTTTAATCCTTTTGCTAAAGGGTTAGGGATGCATTCCATAAGAAACTGAGAGCCACCACCATGGCAACTTGCTTGTTGAGATGGCATCTTTGGAGAGTGTTTCTGTGAGCATCTAATGAAGACAGCATCAGACATTCTATTAGGAATGGACTATTGAATCTGATCTATACCCCACAGCTTCATGTGTCCTCTGGAGATGCAGTAAAAATAGGTTTGCCAGTTGGAGTCTAGAGATCTCCCAAAACTGATCTTCAGACTACAAAAATCAGTTCCCCTGGGGGGAAAATGGCTGCTTTGAATGGTGGAGTATATAGCATTATACCCTGATAGGGTCCCTCCCCAAACCGTGCCCTTCTCAGGCTCCACCCATAAATCCCCAGGTATTTCCCAATGCAGAGTTGGCAACGCTAACTAAAAAGATGACACCAAGTAGCCCTTGAAATGTATTGCTTCCTTCAGAATCACCATGGCATTGAAAACACTGAGGGCAGGGGTCATTTCGTAGAAAAAGAGGTGCAGGAGCTCATTAGCATAACTCAATAGCATAACTTATTTGCATATGCCACACCCCCTGACATCACCGGACGTGTGTCAGAAGGCAACACCCACCGCTCAGGTTCCACTGGACTGTTTTGGATTGCTAGCTATTGGGGAGGGGGGACATGCAACTTGCCTGGCTGCTTCTTACTCTGAGGGCTGCTGGGAGCACGGGGTGGGGCCTGTTGCATGTGCCTGCCCCCTGGGCTCTTTACTGCCGGAGCTCCACTCCTGTGCGATCCTGCAGGAAATGACCCCTGACTGAGGGGAGAAATTCAAAGCTGATCTAGTCAACAGCAAGTCCCATTTTATTCAGTGCAACTGATTGTTCTTGAGATTACACTTAGGTCACTGGAATACATTAAACTAGGGGAGAAATCCTAATTATCTTTCAACAATTGGGGCGGGGGGAACACACAGTATAAGCAAATCAATAAAGATTTTTTTAAAAAAAAAAAAGAACAGCTATTCTTGGGCTGGTCCTAGAGTTGCCAGATCCCCCTTGGCCACCAGCAGGGGATGGGGGGAGAATAGGGTTGCCAGAACCAGGTTGGGAACCTCCTAGTGGTTTGAGGATGGAGACTGGGAAGGGAAAGGACCTTAGTGGGCAGCCCCGTAGCTAATGAGTTTTGGGGGAAGGGGCCGGGGGGCCACCAGCCAATCAAAGTTAATTAAATTAACTTCGATTTAGTTGCTGGGACTCCTAAGGCAGCCCCGGCTGCGACCAAGGGGGGAGGAGCACGCCGCCACCAACAGCAGGGACAGCCCTGGCACTGCGAACGAGCCCTCGGGTCTTGCGGGTGTGCCGAGGAGCTCTCTCTCGCTCTCTCTCCACTTCTCTCGGCAACTGGCCACCAGCGAGCGCCCTGCCAAGCTTCTCCCCCTCCCTCCCTCTCGGGGTGGACTTGGACAGACTAAGAGGCCCGCCAGGCCCGCTGCTGCTGACTCCGCCGGACAGCCGCCAGTGCCTCCTGCTTTGCGCGGCACTCCCGGATCACTGAGGGGTTGTTCTTTTTTCCTTCTTTGAGGGTCGAGGTGTGTGGGGCGGCAGGGGCGGGAGGGCAGGTCTGGCCCAGAGAAAGTGGAGGAGTTTTTTCCATCCGCTTTTCGTTGCACGACGGGTCGTCTGCAGCCCAGTTGGGAAACGTCGGCTCAGCACTTAATTTTTTTAATTATTATTATTTTTGAGGGAGGCAGGCACCTAGGAGCAGCAGCAGGCAGCGCAGAGTCACCAGCTGTTGGTCTGAGGGCAGCGACAGAGGGGGGGGAGCCGAGGATTGGAGAGGGGCCCATAAAAACCACGGGGGCACTACAGGCCTGTTAGTGGGGTACAATGCCATAGATTCCACCCTCCAAAGCATCTATTTTCTCCAGAGGAACTGATCTCTGTAGTCTGGAGATAAGCAGTAATTCTGGGGGGTCCCCAGGTCCCTCCTGGAGGCTGGCATCCCTAGCTGGTCCTAGACACAGCAGCTGGCTCATTTGAAGGCACAGGCTGCAAGCCATGGACTAAGAGCCAAAACATCAATGGCTCTTGCTCTTTGGTTCAAGCCCAGTCCTTTGCGAAAAGGGGGGGGCAGACTTAACCCAAGCTAAATTTAATTAAGTACCTAAAGGTTAAGAAGATATGAATATATAGATCCAATGATTTTGTTAGTTAAATTTAACAGACTCATTGGGCTTATGTATTCATATCTTCTTAACCTTAAATACTTATGTCCAGACCAGTCCTAAAGAGTCTGCTCAGAATCTTACTCAACCCTTTCCAATGGGGCTTACTCCCAGAAAAGTGTTCTTAGGATTGCACTGTAAAGGTCACATAGTGGTCAAGCATATACAGTTGGAATACATTTTATGAATCAAAAGACTGAAGTATATAATATACATATGAATTGGAAAGAGGCATAGGGATGGGAACAACATCAATGTTGGTAAATAATCATTCAGGTGGGTAGCCGTGTTGATCTGAAGCAGCAGAACAAAGTTTGAGTCCAATGGTACCTTTGAGTCCAATGGTCTTAAAGGTGCCATTGAACTCAAACTTTGTTCTGGTAAATAATCATGCTATTTCAGCTGAGTGGAGATGCTAATTAATCTGCTGCTCTCGTCCAGATTTTTCTGGGTGATTCAGACCAGCTGTGACCAAAATTATGAACACTGAGTTGTGTTTTCAGTCAGTAGTAGCATAGCTGACACACACATTCTTGCTGTGGGCCAGGCATACTCTTCTAATTATATAGCCCATTCCTGTGGCATGGAACTGGGTATTAATTTAGTTGAAACACACACTACTTATGTAAGGGAAATTAGTCCTACCTATTTCTATGACTGCACCCATGTTTATTTGCACCTTAGTCTTCAGGTCACTCCCACTTCTCTCTTTTTTCTCTTGCATTGTTGTGACATAACCTTAGCTGATGAGTTCTGCTGGGCGGGGAAAGCTTTTGGTTTTGTTCATTGTACACAACAGCTAGAGCTTGACGTATATACATACAAACAATGAGTACAAAAGGAATTAGCACATTGTTGAAGGGACTTTTTAAGAACTGGTGAACTGTGCTTATGTCTCAGTTTCCTATGGAAATATTATTTTTTTTTAATTTATTTATTTAGACATTTTTACCCCGCCCTCCCCGCTAGCAGGCTCAGGGCGGCTTACAAGGGGCATGCGCCCATACATAAACCAGATAAAACAATAAATCATGAATAATAACAACAGTAACAATAATAAAGTGCTTTTTGTAAACAAGATGGTCTTGAGTGGTTTTGATGGCATCTTCAAATCCTCCCCATTGGGATGACACTGTTCGGCAGATAGTTCAAGCCAATCCCACATTGTCAGTGCCACGCGATTTGTGGCGGAACTTCCAAGGGCGATTCCTAATCCCAATGATATTGCCACCATTGGTGGTGGTGGCAGCGGCGGCCCCTATGCAAAAGCCTGGCGGAAGAGCTCCGTCTTGCAGGCCCTGCGGAACTGCATAAGGTCCCGCAGGGCCCTGATCTCCTCCGGGAGCTCGTTCCACCAGGTAGGGGCCGCCACTGAGAAGGATCTAGCCCTGGTCGCAGCAAGCTTTACCTCCCGGGGGCCTGGGATCACCAGGCGATGTTGGGTCCCCAGCCGAAGTGCTCTGGGGGGTATATG